GGAGCAGGAGCCGAGCCTGCGCGGAGCCTCCTTCTGGGAACCCGAGTCCCGGCGCCTCCCCAGGCCCTGGCCCGCGTGGATCTGGTTCCCTAAGGCCTCCGCGCCTTTCTCCGGACTCCTGCGGATGCCCTGGCCTTACCCCGGGGCCGGGCCACGACCCAGACATTTCCTTCCCTACCACTGCGCTAGCCGATCGTGTGATTGGAGGCCATCCTGCGATGCCATGAGCCGAAAGGGAAGCCGGCCTCGTCCCTTTCGACCAGCGCACCCCAGGGCCACTCCCAATCCTTGGGGGACCAGCCTCCCTCATGCTCTCGGTTCACTCGCTTGCAGTGTAGATAAGTAGCCGGCCAGCAGCCAGGGTGGGCCGCTATGCCCTTCCCTAGGAGACACTCAAACGGCAAACAGGTAAGGGGAATACCATTGGAGTATACGCCAAAAAGAAAAGTTTGACTACTATTTCCAGACTTTACCATCTGTTAACAAATGTAATCTTCAAAATACCTTTTATGATCGCCCTGGCCTGTGTGGCTCGGTTGGTTGCCTGTGCACTGAAAGGTTGCGGGTTAGATTCCCAGTCGGGGCGCAGGCGGGGTTGTGGGATTCATCCCGGGTAGGGGCCCTGGTAGGGGCGTGCAGGAGTCAGCCCACCCATGTTTCACTCCCACATAGATGTTTCTCTGTCCCTCTCCCTTTCTCTCTCTAAAAATAAGGAAAAAGAATATTTTAAAATACCTTTAATCATCCCCACATTATGGGGGGGAAATACATAAATCCGCATTATTAACCGGTAATATATAAATCCTCATTATTAACCAGTAATACTTAAATCCGCATTATTAACCGGTGACCATTAATCTGCTAGAAACGGGCTGGGACCACAGGAGCAGACCATTTAAGTAAGGCAGGTAATCCCTCTACGCAGCCTACCACACCACACTGCACTGCACGCATTAGAAGGTGTGTTAACAATAGGACAAGTTCACCCGCTATTTTTAATTCAAATGTCCCATTCAAGGTTGCAGCCCCTTCAACACAGACAGCGTGAGCGTTAGTACCTGGCAGGGCCTAATCAGGTCGCGCGTTAGGACCACGGGTTCCTTCTGCCAAGCGGCAGCAGAGCCGCTCTGCCGGAAACCTCCGCACCCGCAGGTGAGCGAGGAAAAGCCCAGCAGCGAAGGCAGGTGAGGGAAAGTCCGAGCTCCAGGCTAAGAGCTCCCGGACCGGCCTCGCCTTACCTTGGCCTCCGGCACCGGGGGTCAGGGGTTCTGACAAAGGCAGCTCCTTCCTGGGGCTCCTCAAACTCCCAGGCCGCCTCCATTGCCCCTCACGCCCCCCCTCCCCCTCAAGGTCGGGAGTCGGTGGAAGCCTCCAGGTGTCCATGAATGTAGGGAATTTTCTCTAGCAGCGGGAGCCAGTGACCCAGGGCCGGAGGGAGACCTGCACCCTTCCCTGCAGCCAGAACCCTGGAAGACCCGGTCTGCCCATCACCCATGAGTGCACCCGGTTGGTTAAGCACAGGAAGCTCCTGTGCCATTGGTCTTTTCCAGCTGCACAGCCTGGCTAAGAGGGTGGGGAACAGCCGAGACTTGAGACCCCTGCAGGGAATGAGGCCTAAGCTTCAGACAGGTACTGTCTCATTGACCCAGTCCAAGAGCGAGGCTTCTAGGTGAAACAGGAATTTTAGGGGTAAAATAGGACAGGTTTAGGAAATTTTGGAAATTAAGGGGACCATGGAGGAAGCACAGGGCTACCGAGCAGCAGAAGGTATCCTATATAATGAAACCCTAATATGCAAATTGACCTAATGGTGGAATGACCGGTTGCTATGATATGCATTGACCACCAGGGGGCAGATATTCAACACAGAAGCTGCCCTCTGGCGGTCAGTGTGCTCCCACAGGAGCCAGAAGCCGGGCTCAGGACTGGCGAGCACAGTGGCAGTGGCAGTGGCAGTGGCGGGAACTTCTCCCTCCTCCACTGCAGGCGGGAGGTAAGGAGTGAAGGGTCCCGGATGGTCAGCAAGAGGGATGTCAGCCTAGGGGTCCTGGACTGCAAGAGGGCACAGGCCAGGCTGAGGGATCCCCCCACCCGCACAGTGCATGAAATTTCATGCACCGGGCTTCTAGTATTTCCATAGAATGAAGAGCCGGAAAGTTGCAACAGGTACATTTCCATAGAATGAGGGAGCTGGGAACAGCAAAAGGTCTATATTTACAAAATAAAGAGACAGAAGCCCTTTTTCCAGAAGGAGAAGAAGAAAGCCCAAAGGGAATAGGAAAACAATAAGGAAGGAGGGGAGGGGAGAACTTCACATGTCCCATGTGAGGTTCCATCTTTGAATCCATGAGTTACTATAGTAACCAGTCTTGGGGAATAGTGAGTAATCAGAGGGGATATCAAGGCACCAGGATCTGCAGCCTTTATAAGCCATAGGGAAAAGGAACTCAGTGCGACCCTTCTCCCCTCCCCTCCCCCCATGTGGGAGTCTGTATTTATTCTGGAATAAATTTCCACCTGTACTATACCACTTTCTGTCTGTGGATTCATTCTTCGATTCCGGCAGACGAAGAATCCAGGTTCCAGTCCAAAATAACCCATTTCATAGGGACCTTGCCAAATTAAGGTATTTCTCTTGAAGCTTTCTAATCTCAACACCTTCTATCTTGCTCAGCACAGTATGCAGTGAGAACTGCTGTTTTGTTTTGTTTTACATCACTAACTCCCCTGTGTCTTATTAAGTCATTAAAATAATCATCAATAAAGTGGGCACTGTTAATATTTTTTCAAGTGAAGAAACCAGAAGAAGGGAATTTAGTGACCTGCCCCAAAGTCTGCATTTTTCTCTAAATATCAACTATAGCCTGTCCTTTCTGTTCCTGTTGCTCTACTTGTATTCAGGCCTGCATAATTGCTTGCCTGGGCTACTTCTAGAATGGCCCCTTAACTCCTCTCCTAGCCGTGTACAAAGCCAAGAATTAATCTTCCTAATGCAAAGCTGATCATGTCTCTCGAATCCTTCTCAAGTCTCTCAAATGTCAAATCCTTCTGTGGCCTCATTCCCCAGAAGTTCTGGCAGTGGGTGCTACTCATTAAAGTCTTCCCCTTTGGATCAGTGCACAAACCGGAAATGAACAGCCTGCTGAAGTTTCACAAACACATCACATCAGCAACGAGCTAAAAAGACAACATAACCAGCACCTTGACATGTGTCCTTCCCGCCACTTACTACTCCCTCCCACACAAGGGTTTTCCACCATCCTGACAAAGAAGAGCATGTAGTCAGTCTAGAGTACCACTCCTTTTTGTACATTGTATAAATGGAACAATTACAGTGCGTACTGTTTTGTGTCTGGTTTCTTTAAGTCACTGTTTAGGTTCATCCGTATGTTGACTATAGTTAGAGTTTGTTCACAAGAATGCAGATTTGGGGAGAGAACTGAGAGTTAAGGTTTGGCCAAGCTCTGTGGCCAAATGAGATGCCTATGAAAGGTCCAGGTGGAGATGACCAATAAGTACAAATACAAGAGTTTAAAGTTGAGTGGAGAAACCAGGGTTGGCGACACAAATTTGGGAATCACTGACACTTCAATGCTATTTAAAGACACAGGGGCTGCATTAGAAGGCTGGTGGGGGTTGTTATGCAGATAACGAGGAGGAGGGGGCCTAGAACCAGCCCCGGACCCTCTCACATTTAGAGATGGGGCCGAAGAGGAGCTGACCAAGGAGTACCTAGTGGAGCAGGAGGAAAACCGAGAGATTCTGTGTATTAGTCAGGGTTCTCCAGAGAAATGGAACCATTATTATAAGGAATTGGCTCACATGATAACAGAGGCTGGAGAGCCCCAAGATTTGCAGGGTGAATCAGCAAACTGAAGACCCAGGAGGGCTGATGGTGTCGGTCCAGGCTGAGTCCAAATGCCTCAAAACCAGGAGAGCTGATGGTATAGTTTTCACCTGAGGGCCAGCAGGCTCAAGATCCAGGAAGAACTGGTGTTTCAGTTCACATCTGAAGGCAGGAAAAAGGCGAAAATCATCCATATTTTCCCGTAACAATTATTTTTATTTTCACTGATGTCCCAGTTTTAAGGCAGTCAGATAGGGACAATTCTCTTCGTCAAGGGAGAGTCAGCCTTTTTGTTCCAATTAGGCCGTCAAGTGATCAGAGGAGGCCCTCCCACTTGAGGGAGAGAAATTTGCTTGACTCAGCCCACTGGTTTAAACGCTAATCTTACCCAAAACACCCTCACAGAAACACTCAGAATGTTTGACCAAATACTTGGGCACCCCATGGCTCTGTCAAATTAACACACACAATTAACCATGAGTGTGATTGAGGGGAGGCATTTGGAAAGGGGGAGTGTCCAACTGCCAAGAATGGCACTGAGAAATCTTAAGAAACTAGTGGGACAATTGAGTTGGCAAGGGGAGGTCACCAGTGTCCTCCCTGGTGGACAGGAGGGGACTGAGGGAAGTGTGAGGTGCAGACAGTGAGAAGTTCAAGGGCACATCATGAAAGCAGAGGGAAGGCAGGGTGTAGGTATGAACAAGGGTAGGTTGGTGAGAAGATGACAGGCTATTTGTCTAATTGCTTTTACTCAGTGAAGTATGAGACAAGTTCATCAGATGAAAATGTGTGTGGGGTGGGGGGTGGAAGGAAGTATAAGACTATAATAATAAAAGTGTAATATGCTAATTAGACCAGATGTCCT